GGTAACCATATAAAAACAAATGATTTATACAAAGTATATAATCCACGAAATATAATAATATTTTCATTTTTATTTATATGACTAATATATTAATATCCTAAGTAGCCTTCGATATTGAATTAGCCAACATTTTAGGATTCTCTTTGTGTTTTATTGTATTATTAAATGTAAGGGTGTTAAAAAGTCTCATGGGATCCTGTTCCTGTGGGGTCCCGTCCCGTTTGGGGGAATTTTTAAAAAAAATTGGGATCGGGGACGGGGACGGGGACGGGGTTTAATTTCGGGGGTAGGGATGGGGGTATGTAATCCCGTCCCAAAACCCTTATGAGGACCCCGTTAATCAATTATACATATATTTACATATATTAATTATATAAATATAATAAACAGTAACATGATTTGAGTTTCTAAAATTCATAAAAAAAACATGTTTTTAAGTTGTTGGTATAATGAATTTAAAATGTCATAACTTTTTTATTTTTAACATGTAAAATTCTACTATAAATAATTATTTGTTACTTAAAAAATAGCTTCTTTTAACCTAAAAAAAAAACAGCCCAAAATCAATCGTGGGCAGGAGAACGGGAGTGGCGTAATAAACGGGATTCGGTGGCGAGGGCGGAGGTAGGAAGACTGAACATTTGGGGGTGGTGGCGGTGGCGGGGATGGGGGAACTGGGAATTTCAGGGGCGGAGGTGGGGGATGCACTCATCGTACCATTTGGCCCCATTGACATGCTTGATTAAATGCAAGAGTGAAGATTTATCGAAATCTTTTTTTTAAAACTGGTTCAAACAAGAATCAAGGAGCAACTCGAGATTTCAGAAGAATTTGATGTAGGCACTTTGTATATAGAGACCATACAGATTGTAACATACACACTCTCATACTCACACCGATACTTACTCTCTAGATATTCTCGAGCACAAAAACACTCACTATATGATCAACTAGAACATGTAACTTGATTACCATTGAATTAAAGTTCTAAGACAGTGTGACATTGTTATCTTCCAATGTTTTATGTTGGAGATTCTAAATTATTAAATGATTTCCTCGTATATTTATTTGTTCTTACAATTAGTTTACTTTTATCATTCAAGAGTTGATCCATTTCAATATGTATAAACCTTTTTCATAATGTTTATTCTAACTAAAATATTTTATTTGCTCAACTACAACATCAAAATACTCTATCTTGATCTTTTTTGAATATCATAAGATTTATTACTTGATTCAACGAATGTACACATTAATACTATTTTTGTCATATTTTTCAAGTACACAAATATTTGTATTTTGAAATACGTCATGAAATCACGATCACATTACAAATCGGTTAGTTCTAATTTCAATGAGTTTCAGTGCTTTTTTTGCTATGTTTGGTCATGCTTGTAATATTCGATCCAAATAGGTTAGTTCTCGCTTCAAAAAATTATTCGATCGATCTTCTTTCCTTGAAGCGTCGTTTAATGGAAATGAAATTAGAAGAACCGTGCAAGATATCTTGTTGGTTTTATTTTTGCTTTCATAAAGAGATTTTGAAAAAATTATTAAATTTAACGTTTTCAATACCGTTTTGTTATTTCAAGAATATGTTTCTACTCCTAAATGTCGTAATATATCTTTTTGGCATTGATTCCCAAAACTCTAGATCTAGTGTATGGGAAGAGTTTCTTCTTGTTTGTCTGACAGTATAAAATAATTGTAAAGCCACTCGCACATAGACATCTTCGACAAATTAATAAGTAGTGGGTAGCTTGTATCAGGTAATGGGTAGCTTGTAGCGTTTTGTTAAACACTACATGAACTAGCATTTGGATTTGGAGTGTTTTGATTAAATTAAACGTTAGAAGCCTGTAGTGTCACACGAGACTTTCCGTTTTAAACGGTGTATTTTGTCAAATGTTCCAAAACGATACGTGCCGACGCCCTATAAGAAGAAGTGATTTCTAATGTTGTTAGTGAAGAACAAACTTTTCTTTTTTTACTAAAGATCGTCAAACTCATGACAATGCTTTAAAATTAAATGAAATAGTAATTGGTATTAGGAGAAGAAAAGAAAACGTATTGCCCTCAAAGTTGACTTTAAGAATGTGTACGACTTGCTTCATTAAGGACACCTAGATTATATGTTACATAATATGGGTCTTGGTATGAAATGACAATCTTGGATCTGGTCATGTAAAAGTTCAGCTATTACTTCCATTTTGTAAAACGATTAACCGACATCGGAGTTTACTATTAGGTATGACATTCATCCTAAAGATATTTTATCTTATTTTCTTTTTTATTTGGTTGTGGAAAGTCTTTATGTGATGATATTAGAAGTTATTGTTAATGGGGTTTTTCGAAAAACTCATATTGATAGCAATATTTTTTATTTCACATAATTTTATTTTTCATAAAGCACGATATTTCTTGGAGAATAATTTCAAAATAAAAATTTCATTCTTTTGGGAAATATAATCTATCAATCGGATTCTAAAATTTACGAAACTATAATTAAAAAAAAAAAAAAAAAAAAAAAAAAAAAAAAAAAAAAACTTGAAGTTAAATTGATTTGGTTGACTTTAAACCCTAACTTTTGAAGTTAAATTGATTCGGTTGACTTTAAACCCTAACTTTAGTTTCTACTTTAAACCTTAACTTTAGTTTCAACTTCTTTATAAGAGAAATTGTATTAACTTTTCATTTTGTTGACACCTATGTAACTTCGTTTTTTTATACATCTAAATAATGAATTTGTTGGAAGTGTTCATATATGACCATTATGATTGACTGTAACTTGTTGGTCAGTTATAATGGTCATATGTAAATACTTCCAAAAAATTGGTTACCTCTCTCTCTTTCTCTCTCTCTCTCTCTCTCTCTCTCTCTCTATATATATATATATATATATATATATATATATATATATATATATATATATATATAAACAAAATGAAATGATAATTACTATGATAAGTATATTTTCCTCTTTATAATGCTTTGGTTTATAATATAATTTCTAGTGTTGCAAGAAAAAGTAATAAGTTTCTTCATCGACTCAAGTAAAAATTGTTATGAAACGTGCTTATTGTTTATTAACATTTAGATAAAATTATAAGATTGGTCCATGTAGTATTCAAAAAACTTTGGATAGAGTTCAAAAAGTTTCCAACCTAATAAAAGGTCCAGAATCAATGTTTTTTTGTGTGTTTTTGATCCCTGATACACTTAAAAATTCGATTTTATCATTTTTGTTTCTTTTTTCTATTTTTTATTTATTTTGGTATTTAAATAATTAAAATATATATATATATATATATATATATATATATATATATATATATATATATATATAAAATCTTACCCATCCCTCTCCACAGGTACCCTCTCTCTCTCTATCTCTCTATCTCTATCTCTCTCTCCCTCCTCAAGCTCCTCCTCCAATTTAAACTAGATACACACATTGTTTGATCTTGAGAAGAAATTAACAAAATCAAAACATAATGAAGTAGATTTGAAGCTAAAATTACGATTGACAGAACAAGTCGCGTTTTATCATGGAAGAAGCAGCAAAAGTCGTTTGGGGTCGTTTTTTGGAAGCCAATAATACTTTTTTTTTTGTGCTCATGAGGGTTTCAAGAGATCTGGTAACTCTACATCAACTCATTCAATTTAATCTCAATGATTTTAATCACGAAGAAGATGGATTTAAGATAAAACTTCAAAACTGTATCAAGTTATGGAACAAAAAAGATGCTTTAATCGAGAAATGCAATAGCAGAATTACCCAGGTCGTTACACATAATCTCAAAGTTACAAGTTTGAGAGAAAACGTCAAATTGCTAGAAAAAAAAAAGTCAACGAATCAAAATCTAACCTGAAGAAAGCGAATTCAACAAACAAATGGATTCAAGAATGTGTAAGAGAAATAGAAAGCATTATAGAGTCGTTAAAAAATAACATTTACACAGCATAAACTAGAGCTGAAACAGCCGAATGGAAGGTAGGTCAATTGACCGACTTAAACATTGAATAAACAGACGAATTAGGGTTTCTAAAAGGAAGCCATGAAAGTAACTAGAAAAAGATGACTATACTTGAGAAACAATCGAGAGAGCTCGAGCTTCAGTTATAATATACAAACGCATCTTCTGAAGCTTGTCGGGAACAACAAAACATGTTGTATATGGAACCAGAGAAAAGTAGGTAGAGGAGGACATCCCTGAGCAATCGACCAGGAAGAAGAGGGTAATTCGACCCCTAGAATGTAGAATGATTTTATGGAGAATGATTTTGTAGTAGGATAAAAATGTGAGAAAACCGAAAGAAAATAAATAAAATTTAGGATTTTGTGCATTTTGAATTTTCATCTTATCAACTACATCTGGGTTTGATTATAGAATTTAGGGTTTTTAGGAGGGAGAGAGAGAGAGAGAGAGAGAGAGAGAGAGAGAGAGAGAGAGAGAGAGAGAGAGAGAGAGATGGATTTCTTTTTTTAATTTTAAAGTAAAACAATATTAAAACAGTTATAAAAAATAAAAAAAAATAAAAAAATCTTTTACATTTTTTGTCCTTTTAAATTATTTTGAACAAAAATCACAAAAAATACTTGATTTTGAATATTTCATACAAATTAAAAAATTCATACAAATTAAAAAGTTTCTATATCTTATCCATAATTTTTTACGACCACAAAAACGAATTTTACAGTTTTTTCTAACGTTTACTCTAAGTGAAAATGCAAAATACCAAGAGTATTATTATAGAAAACATATTTATATTTATATTTTATAATATAATGCTCATATCATAATCATAACACATGCCTACCAGCCACACCCTCAAACCTGTCTCACCAACTCACATCTAGAAGCAATTATAGGGTCACTCTTCTCTCTCATCCCCCACCTCCATCCCTACCCGTTAACACCCCCCCCCCCGGGCCCCACCCTTATATAGTGAAGAAATATATATATATATATATACGTATAGTCAAAAGATTATAAAACCCCACATCAAGGTCTTAAAATGGCCGGCCTTTGCTCTCCATTTATCTTCGAGATCAACCAAAGGCTAATTTTTGCTTGACAACCTCACATAAACGAAAAGAAAATAGCCCACAAAAATTGGGGAAAAATATATTGGAAAAGGAAAAATGGGAAGATCACCTTGTTGTGAAAAAGCACACACAAACAAAGGAGCATGGACTAAAGAAGAAGATGATCGGCTAATTGCTTATATAAGGGCTCACGGCGAAGGCTGCTGGCGTTCGCTGCCTAAGGCCGCCGGACTCCTCCGCTGCGGCAAGAGCTGTCGCCTCCGGTGGATCAATTACCTACGGCCTGACCTCAAGCGTGGCAATTTTACTGAAGAAGAAGATGAACTCATCATTAAACTCCATAGCCTTCTTGGCAACAAGTAAGTTAATTTCGTCAAGACTTCTTGAAAGTTTTGTTTTTTCCAACTTCAATGGATATTTTAAACAAATCTCAGTTGTCTTTTTTAAAGAAAAATACGTAACCGAATCGTAAAATTTCAAATTATGTTAATTAATGAGGTTAATTTTTTATTTTTTTTTTGGAAAACAGATGGTCTTTGATTGCTGGAAGATTGCCTGGGAGGACAGATAACGAGATAAAGAATTACTGGAATACCCATATCAGAAGGAAGCTTTTAAACCGGGGAATTGATCCGGCGACCCACCGGCCGGTTAACGATAATCCTACGAGTCATCACACTAACACAAACGCCACCGCTACTACCACTGCCACCGCCGCCAACATCAACAACAATAATTCATCACTTGATGTCGGCACCACCACCACAACCACCATATCTTTTGCAAACGCTACTCCAATTACTCACCTTGTTAAAGAAGAAGTGGAGGATGAAGCCAAGCATAATTCTGACGGAGGAGACCGCCGGAAAATCAAGAACACGTTGCCGGAGATTCAAGAAAGATGCCCGGATTTGAATTTAGAGTTGAGAATCAGCCCACCTCATCATCATCAACAACAACAAAACAACAGCTCATCATCATCCTCCTCATCATCATACATACAACCACAAATCCAACATGTTAATTTCCACCATCACCACCATCAGCAGCCATTAAAGACAGGAGGAAGAACTTCAAGCTTTCCTTCAGGTACTACCATATGCTTTGCATGCAGTTTAGGTATAGAGAATAGCAAGGAGTGCAGTTGTACCACAAGTCTTAATGGTACAAGCAGTAGCAGCACCGGGTATGATTTCTTAGGTTTGAAAACTGGTGTTTTGGACTACAGAAGCTTAGAGATGAAATGAATTCTCACTTGGGTTTTTAAAATCAATCCTTTATTATGTATGATTCACTCTAAAACAAATTGGGGAAGAGAGATTTCTGTATTTTATTATTTTTTTCTTTTTTTTTTTCCTCCAAGAATATATATATGTAGCTATTATCCCTTTCCCTGTTTTAAAATTTTCTTGATTTGTAAAATCACGATATAGTACTATTAGAATTAATCGAAGTAGCAATTCCTTTTCATTTTTTCGGAATTCTTGTTCTTGTTTTTCGCGTTTTCATGTAACAAGAGATATGATAATCAATTAATCATCGGAATTTCTGTTTCTTGAAATGGTGTATCTTAGATGATTACTTTTCCCAAAGCTAAAATTCATAAACCAAGAAAGATATTGCTAAAATGGTTTGTATATCATGTAATGAAAGTTATACGTTTAGTTCGATTTTAGATTTTTGCTACACTTTTAAAAAAGGGATTCTGTCCCATTAGAGAAAAGGTAAAGCATATGTCAGAACCCTACTAATTTGTGTACTCTTGTTATGAGGGTTGTTGCAAAATGTTGCCATTGATAGATTGCAATTACAAGTAGATTAGCATTTGGGGTAGGAGACCAATGAAAGATATAGAAAAGTTGAGAAATAGGGCCATGTGCCTACCTAATTCTCTTTAATTTATATTGGGGCCAACTCCTTATTTTTTAATAAATATAAGCGTAAAGTTGAATAATGATCCATGTGGATTACACCAATTTGCAGATTCAGTCTAACTTTTAAAAAGTTGACAATTTATATCCTTTTCGTTGAAAATTACACAAACGGTCCCCTTAATATATGTAAAAAGACTATCATATCTTCCATTTTTTTTCTTTTCTTTTACGGATTAATAAACGTTAATCATATAACACAAAATTATGGTGCCACCTACCTCAACCCCCATATCTCTCTCTCCCTCTCTCTCTATTATATATAGATGGATAACTATTGTGCGGACGTATATACAATACTATTCTTTCAAAACTACTAAGATGATAAGTTGTTTAGTAATGCAAATACGTTCAACCTCATATAACTATTATCATTTTGATTCATTCTCATTAATTTTTATTCATTTTTATTGTCACATATCGTTTTTCATTCATTTTCATTCTTACAGAATACGATTCAATTAACATTTTGACAACATTCTGACAGAATAAGAATAATAATAATAAATCTATAATAACCTTATAGATGATTTAATTAGTGAGAATTTGTGATAATGACAATCGTTATGTAAGATTGAACGTATTCATATTATCAAACAACATTTTTACTTTGTCATTCTCACAGAATAGCATTGTCCATACATCCGCACAATAAATGTCAATCCACATTTAAACCTAGCTCTCACACACACACACACACACACACTCTCTCTCTCTCTCTCTCTCTCTATATATATATATATATATATATATATATATATATATATATATATATATATACAGTGCTGTAAAACTCGTCAAATTGGTTGATTACTAATCCGAGTACTTGCTACTCGATCCCTTACCGATGCGAGTTATAGAATCTCGAGTACTTCCCAATCAGTCTGTTACTGAACTGAGCAGTGATGTAAAACTCAGTCAACTCGGTAATTAATATGTAATATATAATTAATGATTTATTATTTAACACACACACATATGATTATGACTACATATATATATCTTAAATTTTCAATAATTATTCATGAAGTGAGACCATTAGGTGTTTTTCAATTTTTGTATATTCACATTTATCTACTTCTGTTATATATTTCAATCAACTTATGATTTTGACATATATAATTTCCCTAAAATATTTCTACATGAATTACCGAATCTGAGTACTCCCCGAGTACTTGCTACTCGGTAGTCGGTCGAAAAGGCACCAAGTAAAGAGTTCTACAATCTTGTGTGTGTGTGTGTGTGTGTGTATATATATATATATATATATATATATATATATATATCTCTTGTACTATACTAGGTCTGAGACCCATATATTACATGTGTTTATTTAAAAGAAAAATTAAATACAAAATTCTAAACATTTTAGAAATTTGAATTTATAAAAAAAAAAGTGATAAAATATTGAATTATAAAAATTAAAGTGTTTTTTTATTGCATGCATTTATTAATTTAGTAATTTTGAAATTATAAGGAAAATCCATTAATGAAATTGATATGCATTTATTATTGTATTTAAATATTATTTAGAATTTAATAAAATGAAAATAACCATAAAATGACATGTGGAATAAAAATTAATTTAAATTAACTACAAAATTACATGGGACAAAATAAATAAGAATGTGAAAAGTTCTAAACATAAATATCTTATTTAAAAGTATTATTTTTTTTATTATATAATAACTAATAATAATATATAATAATAATTTTCTCATAAAAAACCATTCGTCAAAAGAGTTATTTGCCGTTGCTTTGCGCTGGTACACATTTGGTATGTATGTATGTGAGTGTGTGTGTCTATATATATATATATATATATATATATATATATATATATATATATATATATATATATATATATATATATATATTCCACAAACATAGATGAACATGTTAGGGTTTAAGCACTTCAACAACTAGATAAACTATTTTCCACAAAAGTAATAATGCAAACAAAACAAAGATATACAATATAAATTGTTTATACAATTAGGATGACCGACTATGTCCACAAAGAACATGAGAGATAGTTTTGTTATTTTTTTCGTAAAAGGCATCAGTACAAGACATTAGGTTACACGAATTTATAGAATATAAATACTAGTTTGATGACCTGATGTGTGTACAACCAACTAGTTTTAATCCTACTAACTTAGACAAAAAATAAACACACGAAAGGCAGTGTACCTATCGATTAGTAATATAGTTCAAGCAAGAGATTAGGTAAGAGTAAACTTGATTTTGACTTGATTCTCCTTAAAATTGAATGTAGGGTTGATTCCCTTGCTTCCCACGCTTCAACAGCACCTTTAGTTGACAATTGGCCTCCAAGGGTTCATCTATATGCTAGAGTATCGATCTGAAAGTCCCTTTATATAGATTTTTACAAAACAGGGGCTACTCGGCGAGTTCAGTGACCTACTCGGCGAGTCCATCACTTAAAACCCGTGTACGGCAAGTCAGCGCGTCCAGAATCGCGAAACTTCTGACCAACTCGGCGAGTAATCGACCCTACTCGCCGAGTACGTTTTGATTCAGCAGTTTCTCAAAACACGAAAGTCGTCCGAAATTGTGTCTACTTTTCAGAAAATTTTGAATCTCATCAATCGGAGTTACGGTTCATGAGATATGGCCAAAACACTGACGAGGGGTCAAGCTGTCCAGCAACATCCTTCTTTCTTCAAAATCCAAGATCCAAGCGTCCAATCGTTAGTTCCGCTTCCTTTTCCATCCGAGCATGTCATTATTGCTGAAAAATGAAATTCTAAACTAATTAAGCACCTTTTTTTCATTAAATGAGATAAAATCAATATAAAGTATTAAGATAATGCATGAAGTTTATAACTAAATATACCCATATCAAAATACCCCACACTTGACTTTTGCTTGCCCCCAAGCAAAACTTAATTTTAGTACACTAATATTACATAAGACAATCCCAATTGAGCCCAACCATTATGCCAAGACCGCAACGCATGCATTTGTGTCTAAAATTTTCCTAATAACCCCCCATACTCCAAATACTCACAATCCTCATAAACATTCGCCCACTTTTTCCGAACAATGCTCATTTTATGCATCCCTCCGAATCCATCCTCAGAAAACCTCTTAACCTCAAGGTATTTTTGGTTGAGCAACCCAAGCATACATAATCTAGATAATTACAATTTATGATACCACATTGGAGCTCATTGGAATTCTTCACTTAATTGACATTTGATCTTTAATTTCTTTGAATTCACCACCTTGTTGTTTGATTTTTGGTATCTTCAACTTTTTGAATTCAGAACTTTGATCTTTTTATCTTTACTTTAACTGCTCCAAAATTCCTACAAATTTTCTTGTAATTCTCTCTTTTGTTTTTTTACATGTACCTCACTTTTTTTTCACTCAAAACCTACATGCTTAAGCAGGGGCGCTCAACTTCAACATTTATTGGTTAGCGATAATAATTTTCCTGGATACATTTCTGGTACACGATGCTAAACATATTGCATCCTTCAAACTAAGCGAGGTCGTGTTTTTGTCCCATGATTTCACTGGAATAAGGAAGCCACAAATGCACTAGAACGTATATAGGCTCAACTAAACATTTGGGTCTTCATGCAATCATCAAATATAATACTAGCATAATCCCTAATTGCTTTACCAAAATTTTCTAAATTAATCCTAGCAAATTTTATGCAAAACTTTAAAAATTAAATAGTGTAACCAACCAACCCCCTACCTTACACTTAATTTATGCAATGTCCCCATTGCATATCATGCATGATAAAGAGCAATAAAAATAAGGAGAGAATTGGAACAAACTCCCCTGGGATAGTAGTGGCGAGGTTGATATCTTTTCTCTTCAGCTCCATCTTCAATTTACTTTAGACATGGGAACAGCTCATCCATGTCTTGGGTGTCAAAATCCCGTGTGGTACAGTCTTTATAAAAGCTCCAAACATAAGGGAAAAACTCTTGGAAATGCTCGGAAAATGATCTCAAAGAATAAAATCAATGCCCATATCAAATGTCATCAAATCTTCAGCTCAAAAGTAAGAAGAATGAGCGACTCGTCGAGTAAGTATGTAGACTTGCCGAGTTGAAGCGTAAATGGCAGAAGAATCGTGAATTTTCACATGGACTCGGCGAGTCCATAAGATGCACTCGGCGAGTAGACCGTTGTGCGACAAAAATTTTATTCTGCCCAAGTCCGTTTATGATGTATGGAGGTTATATAAACTAATAATTTCCCTCATTTTTCTTTAGGTAATAAACACTATATAACCCTTGTATCAATTGGACTCATAGCTTGACTCAAAACT